CACCTGTTGTACCAACCAGGCGATGCTGCCATGGCAACAGCCTACACCACACAACAATACATGAAAGACTTGGAAAGACACCTTAAAAACACTTTTGCTTTCGCACAGAAAAACCTGGAAAAATCAGCTGAAGGACGCAAAGCGTACTACGACCAAAAGGCCTCTCACGAGGAACTCCAAGTGGGAGACAGGGTCTGGTACTACACGTTTGCACCCAAAACTGGGAGAGGAGAGTCCGGGACCGGAACTCTCGCCCGTAAGCTGATGCCCAGATGGACTGGACCCCATCTGATAACCGACAAAGTGTCCCCAATTATCTACCAGATAAAAATCAGTAAAGGCCAAAAAGAGCCAACTGTTAAATGGGTACACCGTAACCAGGTTAAACCACACAAGGCGTGCAACAACTCCTCAGGAGACAAAGATCTCACAAAATCTGACCTCATGGGAATAAGGGTCATCCAAGCAGAAGATAACTAATGGATAAGAAACTTAACCATAGTTTAAATTCACAGGACCTACCCTTGACCATTACGAAGCTAAGACCTATCTCTTTGTGTTTCCATAGGACAATGATGATACCACTACTGGTAATCTTCACCCTCTTGGGTGCCACCCAAGAAAACAAAGCCCTCGTACATGCGGTAAATGAGTTAGCCCTTAAGGTTGAAGCGGATTACGCTGTCGCACACCTAATGGATAGGATTTTTGCTGACATGCTTAGAGATATCAGTTCGTCGGTAGATACACTAGCCACCGGTAGGATCCCACCGTATCTAGTCTCTCTACAGATGGTGAACGACATCCTCAGCTCCGCTACGCACGAAAAAGTTACGCAAACACAGGCACACCTGGCTTACACTCTCGGTAGCGCAATCCCAATCTACGTCAATCACAAAACATTTGAAATGGCGTTCATTATCAACCTACCGATAATTCCCTCAAACGGCATATATAGACTCAGGGACGTCGTAAATGTTGGCAATTGGCACGGCGAAAACCATGTTCAAATTGACACACCAAGGATGGTTGCGTACCACGACGACAACCCCTCAGTTTACCTAGCTCCAAACCTGCAGATGTGTGTTCTCACTCGGGAGATACACTATCTGTGCCCGAGCAAACCGTTTATGTGGAATAAAACCGCGGGCATATGCGGATTAACACCTATTCCGGAAAATTCTAAGTGCTCAACGACCGTAACGCCTCGACACCTGGCTAAAGATGCAAAAGCGGAAATAATTGGCTCTCGTTGGCTAGTGAACGCTCCTCAAAGACAGGCGATCATAGCCTACGATCAACCCGGGGCAAATAGACCTTTGGCGTTACCGGACAAAACGATGTGGATCAGTGTTCCCCAGGGAACAACCATACACATTGGTGATTTGACGCTCTATCACCTCGATCCGGAACGATGGGACACGACTCTGGATGACTCAGAGTACCTGAGAAATATGTCTATAGACATAGATCCAGAGACTCTGGGAAGGATCCGTTTTGAAGGCACCCAAGTCGTCGACGTGGAACCAATAAACCAAGTTCTCAAGTCCCTCAGGTCCACAACTAAGAACCCGATCCAACCAATTAACTATGCGTGGTCGAGCGCGGACACATTAATCATAGCCCTGCTAATGACGATAACCCTCGTATTGTGTGGGATACTCGCATCCCTGTCCCGGGGCCAAACGTCACTCCGAGTCGACGTGGATCGCCATGCAGCGCACCTCGATATGATTATGCCTCGCGTAAGCGGGTCCGCAAAGAAGCCACTCACACGGGACAGCGCGACTGAAACTGACAACCAGGGTGAGGAGGAGCAGTGAAACGATGTTTCTAGATGCTTAGTCACTACTCTTGTCGGTGTTGAAACGTTGTTTAGTTGATTTTGGTTGTTTCTGAGGTAAGAATGAATCTTGTGTGTAGTAAGTTAGAGACTAAGAAGCCTTTGACCATGCCAACATGCAGTTCATTCGCTAAATTGCAATCCTTGCGGAGTCAATGTATATTATTGTTACCTTAAGTACCATAATCTACATTGGTCTCACATCGCTTAAGCCGAACCTACTCGAACAATTCTATTCGGGGGGATAGCTAATTCTTTTTGATAAGTCTCGCCATAGACTTCCAAAACATTTATGGGGAAACCAAACACCCAATCTCAAGTCGTTCGTCTAAAAGACAACAGACATTTGAACCAAACTACATTTTGCCATGTAAAGCTAACTTAAGCCAAGTTAGAAATGGAAAAGTAGTTTGGAACCCTTTTCTATAGGCTTAAACCCCTGTAGTTACCCCTTTTCAGCATGCTCCACCCCTTAACTGGTAGTTGTAGCTGTTCCCAACCATAATAGCTTACACACCAGGTGCATATAGTTTAAGGCCTTATGTAAAATCCCCTTCATAAGCCCACCTTAAACCACATAATTGCATGACACATTGAACCAGAACGGCACAGGCTGGACGTCGCTGGAGACAACCTTCGCTGGAGGCGACCTGCAATCCTGACGTTGGTCTCCG